GGGGAAAGCAGCCAAAGGCTGGGGAAGCAGCCTGAGCGCAGTGGGGGTCCCGTCCCTCCGTTTCGCGGGGCGCAGAGGGACAGGGGATGCTGCTCGGCGCCCGGCTCCCCGCTGCCTCTGTCCCGGAGCGCGGCCGAGGGACCACGCTGGAAGGGGACAGGGGAGACAGCCTCAGGGTGTGCTCTCAACACAGACACGAAACTTGGAGTTTGGCAAAAGGAGGCGACTCCGGCATCTGCTTTCAGTGTGGTCCAGAGAAGATGCTCGGGCTGGTGGTGCGAGGGAGGGAAGGGGAAGGCGGCGGGTCCGGAGCCCGTCTGTTTGTCCTTGTGCAGCTCAGAGACCACAGGCACTAAGATGAAGAAAAGCACCGAAGAGTACGGCTGCTGACTGCTTTAAAATACTTAAACACCCTAAAACGCCTGCCCCTATTATTGAACTTCATTCTCCACCATCCAGGCGTCCCAGCGGCGCCGCAGCCCCCGAGCTTCAGCACTTCAAACCCGCTTTTCTCTGCAGAGCCCGGCTGTGAAAGGGATGCGTGTGGCTGCTGTTCTTCCCTTACGGTTACGACTGAGTGTTCCTTAGAACAAAAATGAGGGGGAGAAAGAGAGTGTATTCTTGCCTATGCAAATACAATGTGCATTCAGATTCAAATAAAATTATAGCAAATAGAATCTGCAGCATTTGAGATAAAAATGGTAATGAGTTTTAATAGTTCACTTTGATTTCCTCTATTGAAATCAACTCCGGGAGGCTGATATTGTATCGGGGAGATGTTAGATTCCCGGTCACACATCAGGGAGCTGTACAGCTTCCAGGGGGAGAGGGAACAGCGCGCTGCCGCTGCCGCTGCCACTGCTGCTGCTGAGCATCGCGGGCGCGGAGAGCTGCGAGAGGCGGCCATTACAGCAGCTGTGCAATTAGACCGGCTATCCATCATTAACATGCTTTTAATCAATAACCCGGGCAAAGCTGAGCGGGGGGGGGGGGGTGATTTAGCCACAACATCGTCATCGGAGGATTCGGGGAGGGTGAAGGCTCTCCCCTGCTGCTGAGCAGGACGGGGATGTAACGGGCCAGAGGAAAGCAGGAGCTGACTGACGCACCGTGTCCTTTCCGAAGTGCACACGTTACTGCCGGGCACGCACAGCTCCAGCGCTCCACCGGCTCCTTTCCCCAGGGACCCACATTCCAGCTAACCGTGCATCGCCACGCACGAGCATCAGAGCAGCAATCCAGACTCCTAATCTTCTGTTCCCTGAAAAGGAAACTGTGATTGAGCTTATTACTGATACCACTGGTCGCCGATAAATTAACGACCGTACTCCATCCTCCCGTGACCGGCCACAAGCACGGGAGGAACCGCAGAATGGGGAACGGAGCGGCTCCGCAGGCCCGCGGGCGC